TTACCATCTTATGGACCAGCAAACATTCTTAGTCGTGGTGCCCCAGGTGTTTAATAGATTTTCACTTGGTGACTACTCTGATATCCCTTCAGAGTCAATGTTCCCAGGCTTTTAAACCCACATATTTATTATGCTTTTTTAATGCTGTTTTCTCCCATCTTGGCCTACCTTGTGCATACTGTTGTTTTATTATGCATTTTGCTATTATCATTCAAAAACTACCCTATTATCATTCAAAAAATACCTCAATGAAGGGCAGCATACTATCATTTAATGCACCTGTTTACTGGATTGTGTATGAGTAAAACCAGGGGTAGACAACCATTTTGAGCCTGGGGCCAGGTTGCTGTCCCTCGGACAATTGGGGGGCCGAAGCACCAAAAATAAATAAATAAATAAATAAATAAATAAATAAATATTTTTTTAAAAAATTAAAAATATGCATGCACACCCTCTCAGCCTCAGAAAAGCCATGGCAAACCTGCTGTGGAGATTTTGCCAAGAAAACCCCAAGAACAAGTAATAACAATAATCAATATCATAATGGTGGGGTCAGCGGCGGCGGCGGCAGGACCAGCCTGGGGCCAGTCCAAAGGCCTCAGGGGCCGCATCTGGCCCCCGGGCCTTAGGTTGCCTACCCCTGAGTAAAACTATTAATTGTTCTGTATAGTGGTTAGAGTGTTGGACTAAGACTCTGGAAGAGTTTAAATCCCTGCTAGGCCATGGCAGCCTACTGGGTGACCTTGGGGAAGTCACCCTCTCTCAGCCTATGGAGAAGGCAATGGCAAACCATCTCTGAAGAATGTTCAATGTTCACAACTGCCAAGAATTTAACTATGCATTCTCTGTCCTTCAATACTCTCAAGATGCTTTCATGTGCCCCTTCATTCCACCAGCAATTGCTAAAAATATTGGAAAGGAGCAATAGTCTTTACTGTTTTTATGTTTCATTACTCTGCCCTAAACATCATCCTAGAGAAATCAGAATTCAAAAGGATCTGTCACAGATGGAGAGGACAAAACAATTTCGGCTAAAACTTGAACGTCAGGGGGTGGGAAATCTCTTACCGTCAAGTAACCAAGGCTGGCTCCGCATTTTGTCCAGTTCTGTCATCATAACACGTGTGAACACATGATCAGGCACCAAAAGGCCTTTTTCAAGGTACTGCTTTGCCAGAATGCCAACATCTGTTTATGTGGAGTGCAAGGTGGAGAGAAAGAAAGAAAAAACATATCATCATTTAGTTTAAACACTTTACAAGCTGGGTTTCATAATTCTGATTATTAACTGTCTTAAAGTAATCACCCCAAATGTTTCTTCTCTGAAATCAACTACAGAGGAAGAAATCCACAGGATGACTAGTTTGGTGTTCAGGCTTCAGTGCCTCCTGACGTCACCAGTTAATACACCCATCGCAACTCTCCTCTCATTAGAAGCATTCCAGCTTCCAACACTGGCTGCCAAGTCAGCTGAATCATTAAGGTGCCAAGTCATCAAAATGGCATGAACCTTAGCTTAACCACCTTGCATCTGCCAAGCCTAAAGCCAGCTAATTCTGCAGCCATAAAGGGAACCACTTTCGCTGGACATTAGAAAGGAGGCTGAAAAGCAATATTGCATTTTGGACCAGGGTCTTGTGATATTCAGAAAAGTAACAGAAAATTATGTGATGTATAATTTTGCAGTGGTCTCGCAAAAAAAAAGAAAAGAAAAGAAAGCACATTCAAAGTCAGGTTGATGGGTTAGGAAGCACAGTCACAATTGTAAAGGAAGAAGGCAAAAGAGGCAGCAATTAAAACATGGCAGCCAATGAAATTAGACGCAGTGGATGTAAGAGCAAAAGGGATAGCATAAACCAGTGAAAAAGGAAAGGTGGAGCTAAGGCTGCCTCTACACTGCAGCATTAATGCAGTTTGTCACCACTTTAACTGCCTTTAATGCTGTAGCATCTTTTAATGCTACAGAATCCTGGAATGTGTACTTTTGTGAGATATTTAACCTTCTCTATCAGAGAGCTCTCGTGTCACAGAAAATAACAAACCCTAGGATTCTGTAGAATGGAGCCATGGCAGTTAAAGCAGTGTCAAACTGCATTAATTTGCTGTAGTGTTAGAGCACAAGAAACAGGAAAGCAATGTAAGCCTCAATATTCTGTTATAACCCATCTTCACAGTCACATTTCTATATAAATTCTATCATTTGGCATCTTGTTAAATGCTTGACAACCAAATTTTACAATCTTATCAATAACTTCAGCTATACCTTGCTTTTTTCCCTTGCTTATTTGATATAGCTAGCTATATTTCTAGTGCAGCTCAGCACATGTTTTCTTAGAAGTAACCCCAATTCTTCTCAGTGGAACTTCCTCCTTAGTAAATGTGTTCAGAATTGTAGCCTTCATCTCCAGGAGGTGACTTGGATGTTTTCCACACAGTTGTGATGATAACAAATATTTGAGTTAGACAGTTCATAATGACATAACAAGAATGGGGTGGGGAAGGAAACTGTTAAAGGAAACAATGAATGACAGCTAAGCTCCCACATAAAAATAAGCTGACAAAATAAACTAAGTATTTTTCTTCTAGTCTAAGCATGTAACAACATGTATTTTTTAAATAATATTTTTACTCTGAGCAAAATGAACTATATTTGAAAGTGACTTCAGAAACTTACTTTCAGGAAAGTGAGTTCAACATATATTCCCAAAGAACAAAACCTTACACAGTATTCTCCCCCACCCCCCCACCCCCCAGTTTTGAAGAAATGAACAAAAAATGCGTATTAGTTTCAAAAGTTTTTCAGTAAACTATTCCTATCTGGACATTCCTCAAGCAGTATTTACAATCAATGCCTAGATTTCTGGTGTATGTATAGATTGTTATGCATGTTACAAAGTCTTTAGCAGCTTACATAAGGACATCACAACTGAAACCTGTAGAGAGGGGGTGTTACAACCTAAAAACACACTTAAAACTCCAAAATGTTATAGTATTTTTCCATAACAGTGACCAAACAGTTGCTAAAATGAGGTTGGATCTGGGCAGCTGGCAAAATTGAGACATCAAACCACCATTCCTTCAGGCATTTGTTTACCTTTCCTTACTCTTTCAAGTCAGAGTTTGCACATAAAAAACATCTTCCCAATCCTACACACACACACACACACACACACACACTGGCATGAAAAAGGCTAGAAGAGCCACTCTGAGGTCTTGGGCCATAGTCTTGTTAGTGCCTTAGGCTACCAATTGCACTTTTTCCAGGGTTGCAGCAGGCTCTGAGCAGCATGTTTCTTCTTTCCTCATTTTCTTCACAGCCACGTTGCCTGGAACATGTCCCTCCTGCCACCATTGCCTATGCTGACACTGGTACACTGGTATCATTCCCTACAGGATTCTGGCCCTTGGTCCCCTTTTTCCTCTCTTGTATATCCTGCGTGGGAGCCCTGAGTCCATCAGATGTTCTAGGCCATGATTTTCACAGTGCCATACCTGTATCCACATTGCATGGGGCTAATGGGAATTGTAGGCTAAAATATCTGACGCATTTCTAAACTCTGTCCTATGCCATAAGACTTATAATGAACAGTTCTTTCTACTGACATTCTAGCAGGACTTTTTCTTCTTTCTTTAACCATTACACCAAGACTAAAATTAAACAGGGAAAGTTTTCCTTCACTGCATGGCCTGTTGCGTGGTGGCTTGTCAGTCGGCTTCCAGGAAAAGATAATGGTCTTCTGTCCTTTTCACAGCAAACAACACTATTTTATTTAATTTAATTTTATTATTTTATGTCCCCCTTTCACACAACAGGGGTCCCAAACCAGCTTACAAGAAGGTTCAAACGACTAAATCCTGACAATACAAAAGTATATATAAAAAAACCAAAGGTTAAATTTTCTATCATGTAAAAACACACATAATTTAAAACAGTATAAAATCATCTGAAAGACATAATAGAAAACCTCAGCTCCAGTGGCTTGCCCAGGGCATTTTGCCGGCTGAGGCAGAACAGTAAACAGCATACATTTACACAAAAACACACAAAGGGCATAGCACTCAAGGTATTTTAGCACGCGAGGCACAAAATATTACAAGCGCCTCTTGACTTCCTGTCACTAAAAAAAAAAAAAAAAAAAAAGAAAAGGAAAAATCCACAATAACAATTTTCGACTTTTTTATGATGCTGAAGATCAGCTGCTTGAAGCAGATGCCTCAGTCTACCTATTAGCAGAACTAGTCTTGCAAGCTCCTTCTGCAATGGTCCAATCAATCAGGCAGTATCACATACCATGAACAAGAGCCTTGTTCACATCACCTGAATGCATAAGAATTTAAGCGGGTAGAAGGGCAGGGCTGCACCAATTCTCTTTAGGTGCCATGGTTGGTCATGTTGACCAACAAAGATGAAACTTTTTCTTTTGGGCTCTAATTTGACTGTGTTTAAACATTTTTCCAAGTGTAGCAGTACAGAAACTTCTTGAGAAATTCAGTGTTTTCTGCCTAAGGAAAGGACCTGTGGCTTCGCTAGAGAAAGAGTCATCCTGGATCCTGAGAGAAGTTACTTTACTGCTGCTGTTGCTGTTGTGTCTTCCAAGTTTTTTCCTGCTTATGGCTACCCTAAGGCAAACCAACCCATCACGGGAATTTCTGGGAGTGAGAGTATATGAGGCTGATATGATAGCTCTGTTTTAAGTATTTGAAGGGGGTGTCATATTGAGGATGCAGCAAACTTGTTTTCTGCTGCTCCAAACAATGGATGCAAGCTGCAGGAAATGAGAATCCACCTAATATTAGGAGGGGAACACATTCCCTTGAAGTGTGGTGGAGTCTCCTTCTTTGGAGGTTTTTAAACAGAGGCTGGATGGTCATCTGTACAGGGTGCTTTGATTCTGTATTCCTGCATGGCAGGAGGTTTTACTGCATGGTCCTTGTGACCTCTTCCAGCTCCATGATTCTATAATTTTATGACTCACCCAAGCTCATCCAGTGGGTTTCCATGGCTGAGCTGGGAATCGAACCCTGATCTCCAGAGTCATAGTCCAACGTTCAAACCATTATCCCACACGGGCTCTTTTTTTCTTTTTTTTTTTTTTTGGCTGCTAATGGTTTAAAATTAAGTCTTTTTTCCCCCAGTCCCCACGTGGCCAAGAAAAGAATGGCCTCTGCCTTCACTGCAATCCTTCCAAACCAACTGAACAATAACAAAAACAATGTCTGAAACAAATGTAGGCCTGAGACACCATCACTTTTATTTTTTCTCCAGTACGATTTTTTAAAAAAAAATATCATTCACCTGATAAAGAAGCCAGTGGGGCAGAAAACAGTTTGCATGATGTGTTTTGTGCATTTTGGTTGGGAAATGAAGGTATCGCTCTTTTGTGGATTTTGTCTTTTGCTGTCTTTTGCTGTATGGCCAACACAACTGCTCCTGAATATCATCCAAGATATTAGGTATTTTTAAAAGCTTGTGTGTGTGTACGTGTGCATGCGTGCCTTCAAGTTGCCTGTCAACCTATGGTGACCCAGTAAATTCCATAAGAAATACTCAGAGTGATTTTGTCAGTTCCTTCTTCTGAAATACAGCTCACAGCAGCTGGTATTTACTGGCAGTCATCCATCCGAGTACCAACCAGAGCTGACCCTGCTTGGCTTCCAAGATCGACAATATCTGGTGCCTTCAGGATATTTAGTATGCTGTGGGTATTAAAATGCCTTAACATAGTTTTCAAACATCAAACATCCATTCTTCTGTATTGTCATATTCTTGAGCAAGAAGCCTAAAAAATTCCTTCTGCTAACCAGTTTTCTTACAGATTAACTCAATAATGTAGTGGAAAAGTCCTCATCTTAACTAGGTGAAAGGCAAAATTTAGGAAAATACCGTAGTCCTACCTTTTACCAAATGGATTTTTATTAGTATATGGCTTAAAGGAAGCTTTCTAGTTTCTTCACAACAATACATTTGTCAAGAAACACCCAAATAAATTCTAACAATATTCCCAACTAAAGTAAACTCTGATTTCAGAGACAACTGAAAATTGTCTGTTCAATTCAAGAAATAAGCATCAACAACATATAAGCCTCTTCAAGAGCATAGTATGCTAGATTTGAAAACGAAGTTGATAATGTGAAAACATTAGAAATTTTAAAATGAAATTTAGAAATTTAATTCACTACAATAAACACCAATAATTGAGATATTTTAATCAGTTGAGTTACCAATGATTAAATCATTGATCAAAATATTAATGTACGTCGGATTTACCATGAATAGCATGAAAGTTGTCACTTTTTACCTTAGGAGAGCACATTCTGTTGTTGGATTGTTGTTGTTTTTTCATTTTAAAGTTGCTGCCTCTAACTTGGAACTATTTTCCCTGATGGACTACAGGGACCATACTATTACTGTTGTCTGGGAATGGTGTTAGTCCAACACATCTGAGAACTGTCAGATTCGAGAAAGCAGTCCTAAAGCATGGGATCTCATCTTACAACCTCTTCAAATCAGTTTGTCACTCATCTGCATCTCTCTTTATCTTCCACCCCATCAACATGTATACTTCACTCACTCTTCAAATGCCTTATTTATTAGAGTATTATTTCAGTTAGAGTAGTGTGGCATAGTGGTTTGAGTGTTGGGCTATACCTCTAGAGACCAGGGTTCAATTCCCAGCTCAGACATGAAACCCACTGGGTGACCTTGGGCAAGCATAAGTGGGAAATGACTTGAAGGCACACAACAACTAAACACCACTCCACTACAAGTACAGCAATAAGTGTATATGACAAAGATCAGTCACTAAATGAAGAGTAGAGAATTATTAATCAGAAATTATCAAAGTGCATGTCAACATATACAGAACATTCTTCTGTGCAGCCAACCCTTTCTGCCTCACTACTCCTGATCAAGAAGCATGAACTAGAACAATCAGTGGTAGAGTACAGGTTTTGAACATAGACCCAGTGATCCCAAACTCAATCTATGGCATTTCTAGTATAAAAGAGCAAACTTCATTATTCTCTGCAACTGTTTTATTGTAAGACTTACTTGCTTAAACCTTGTATTGTGAGACTAATTAATATAGCAATTTTGTACTCATTCAGTCTGAATGAATGAATCTTGACTCTAAAAACTCGAGAGGCTGAAAGTGCAAAGGAAGGAACAGACGTGGAAAAATGGACTTAGTAGAAGTAGATGTAGCAGTATTATCCTTCTCATCTAGAAGTGTCACTTAATTAAAGTTAAGATTTACTCAGAAGACTTACTTTTGGATTTAAAAAAAAACATAAAAAGGAGTTCTAGTACATTAATTCTCATCTTTTTGCTTCAAGTTCCAACCTTATCAAACCCTACTAAGTGTTTCACAAGATCCAGTAAAGGAGGAAGTGGCTAAAAAGCAGAGTGGGAAAGGTGTGGGGAGAAAGACAGAGATGGAAGAGCCAAGAAGAATGGAATGATGTATGAAATTGAGAGGAGAAAATTACTTACTGTATATATTCATGTATAAGTCTATAAATTTTAGTCAAAAAGTTGACCCAAAAAAAAAAACTGAGTCGACTTATCCATGGGTCAATATAAATACTGTACTTTAACTCTCATAAAAATAGAAACCATCCCCTGGTGAAATGCAAGAGTGTAGCCTCTCCTGGAAGCAATAACCACCCTCTACTCTTTTATCCATCCTTCCTTCAGTATGAACACAAACAGTTATGCCTCCTGCAATTTTGCAAGTTCTTTGGCATTGTTTTCCTTTGCTTCATCTTTAGATCCTTTGTTACAAGACCCTAAGTTTGATCACTGACTTATCCATGGGTCATATCAAAATCCATAATTTTGGCTCCAAAACCTGCCCTTGACTTATACATGAAATTGACTTATAGTCAAGTATATACGGTAATCATTCAAGCATTGTTTAAGTAGCACGTTAAGGCAGTAGTTCTCAACCTATTGTCCTCCAGACTTCAGCTCCCAGAACATGTCATCATTGACCATGCTGGTATAGGCCTCTGGGAGGTGAAGTACTAAACAGCTGGAGGATCAAAGGCTGAGAACCCTTGCACTAAGGAACTACAAAGGGGTTTGCTGCAACTCACCCCAAATAATCTTATATAATAACTGCAACAGACATCAGTCTCATATATAATCTATAAGAGGTTGCTGAAGAGAGTCACAATGCATCTCCACTCCCAGAAAGATTCCAGACACTTTGCTTCCTTATAGACCTATGGAGACACTCCAGTTTTTCACATTGAAAAACCTGGCATTCTGAAAGGGGCCAAATAATATTGTACATTATACAATAGACATCAGTCCAGAATATAATCGAGATGAGAAAAGTTACTGAAGAGAGTAAAAATGACCCACCCACCAGAAACACATTCACCTTTTGAGATAGATACCTCCCTCTCCCAAACCACCTGATCACACCCTTTTCTATTCCAAGGCCCACATTTTTTTTCTTTTCCATTCTTCTTTCACAAATTCTACTTTTCAGCTCCATAAAATTATCTCCTCCCCACTCTCCTGCCCTGTCGTTTTCCCAAAGAAATCAGTGATTCAAACAAAGCCACATGACACATTTCCTCTGACTGTAATTCATATTTAGAGGGTAATGCCTTCATTTTTGCCCTCCTTCCAAAATTACACCCCTGAGATAGTTAGGTAAACAGATCGCAATAGTTTGACATGAATACATGCCATAGGGGTATAGTTCCAGCCCTATATTCCAACAGGGATATCAACAGAAAATCTTTGTAAGGACAGTAGGGAGATTAGATGAACATGCAAAGAAACTTTTTGGACTGGTAATGTTGCCACAGCAACATACAGAACTATAACAGAAGAGAACAATCTAACAGCCTAATCCAGTCCTTTACAACCTTTGCTTCCCGGATGTTTGACAACAATTCCCATTACTCCAGCTATAGGTCATCCTGGCTAAAGGTTGGGAAAAGCTGGTCCAACCCATACATGCCTATACCATATATTTACAATCTCTAGGTAAAGGTAAAGTTAAAGGTAGTCCCTTGACATGAATGTCTAGTCATAATCAACTGTAGGGGATGGTGCTCATCTCAGTTATTAAGCCGGAGACAGCTTTGCTCGAGGACTACTCTGGTGGTCATGTGGCCAGTATGAGTGCACCAAACACTGTTACCTTCCCACCAAAGTTGTACCTGTTTATCTACTTGCATTTGCATACTTTCAAACTGCTAGGTTGGCAGACACTGGGACTAGCGACAGGAGCTCACTCCATCATCCAGCAGTTGGGCCTCAAATGGCCAATCTTCCAATCTTCCAATTGTCAGAATTGGCATCTTAACCACTAAACCACCGCATCCCAATCTCTACTGGGGGAGGGGGGACCTGCTCTGTAATGCTTCTTTATTTTATCCAAACCAACATCACATTGCTTTCATCAAGTGATATGAATAAATCCTAAATGGAAGACCCAAAGGAAACACTTTAACAAATAGTCTTGGTCAGGGGTAGGCAACCTTTCCCCTTTAAGGGTCGAGGGACTTCAGCTCCCAGAATCCCAGGAGCTATTGGCCAACATGGCTGAGGCTTCTGGGAGCTGAAATCCCTCGGCCCTTAAAGGGGAAAGGTTGCCTACACCTGGTCTTGGTGAATCAGCTTACCCTCCACTCACAAGCATGTCCAAAATGAAAACAAGATCTTCCAGATTATGTACACTAATTCTTAGCTTTATTTCTAATTCAGATAACATCCAGGTATGAATTCAGATAGATTAGGGACAACAGACATTTAGTTAGTATTTTCATATTACATTACTTCAACTAATGTTTGGTTCACATGCAAAATGTTGTTCTATCCACTAATCTTATTAAGATGAATGATTAAAATTCCCTTACTAAAAATAAGTTTGCTAGGTTTGATGAACATAAATGGCAGCCAAAAATTCAGCTGAAATACCTGTGTTGTATGCAAGTAGTTTAAATTGCATACAACACAGTGTGTTATATGAAATACTTAAAAGTGAAAAAGGCCAATTATGTCTACTCCAGCTGCTGCTGAACTGTAGCTCCCAGTATCTTCACCATTAGCTGTGCTGGCTGGGGTTGCTAAATGTTGCAATCCAACAACATCTGGATGACAACACTTTTAAACCCGGTTTTAAATTTGTTGTTAGCTGCTTTGAGTACCTATATCACGAGAAAGGCAGGAAATAAATAAATAAATCAGATAGAGAAATAGAGATGGCTCAATCTTTTTCCATGAACACTATGAATCCAGTCTACTATTGTGCAAAACACTGGAGTGCCAAAGCTTCCCTGTCCTTGCTTTATAAATTTGAACTGCTGAATATATAAAATGGACAATTTGTGTTAACAAATCCCCCTTGAGATGGCCTATTAACTGCAATTAGCAGAATCAAACAACTGTCCATCTCATATATTAATAACTAAATATTTTATGTAACCTCTTCATTTTCATTACTTAAAGTCCCATTTGTAGCTTGTTGGTCTCTAATAAACAGTTAGGAATCAACACAAACTGGTGAAATAGAAACATTCTTTTTTTAAAAAAGAAAAAGTTTATCTGGAAAAGAGCCACAACAGAACTTAAAATCAAAGTCTTTTTCAATAGAAAGAAAAAAACAAGCCATTATGCTAAGCAAGTGCAGAGAAAGATAGTCAGAAATCATTAACATTAGGTAGTGATGAAAAATATGCCAAAGTTTAAGAGTCAGGAAATCATATCTTCATTAGTAGCAATACTTTTAAAAGTAGCATATCCCCCACAGAATATCTTCAAATATCTGTTCTTCTTTTGCCAGAGAATATAAAGAGATCTCATTCTGCAGATTCCAGGTCATCATATTTATGTTGCTAGTGACACACCAAGAAAGACTAGGAGGTAAGTGAGTTCCTTTTATTGAAATGAAAAAGGATGAATCATTAGTTGAAATGAATAGACTGTTTCACTAAAATCAAGTCAGGGAATTTATGTGCACACTCATTGCCACTAAAGAACCAGTTGGTTGATTTTACTAAAGAGATGACTGTGTATCTTGCACATTGACATCCAGCTCTCCTGTACACAATCTCTGATGCAGGGCTGACCTGATCTAAGATTTTTAATGTTAACCAGCAAAACAGTTATGCAACAAATGACTGCAGGATGACCTGTAATAACATCTTTCCACAGGCAGTATGAAAAAAACAGCTTAGCTACAATGCACTGTTGATAGCAAGAAACATGCCTAATACAGCTGCTAATCTAAGCTGGTTTGGACAAACATGTATACACTACAGTCGTCCCTCCCAAATCACAGGGGAATTTATTCCGGACACACACACCCAGAAATTGGGGAAATCACCAACATTGGAGTCCCATTGATTACAATGGGACATGCTCCTGCACACATACCATTTTGTCCCTCATGGCTTGCCATCAGCGAAGGAGCGAGGGACGCAAATGTCAAGACCACAAATGGTGAGGGACAAGTGTATACACAAATTTAGGCTTGTTTCTGAAACATCAGTGTCTTTATAGCAGTGGTTCTCAACGTTTGATTCTTCAGATGTTTTGCATGTCAGGTCCAAGAATATGTGACTGTGAGCTACGTAAATTGGGCTTTCTGGTTGTTGATGCCCAAATAATCTGGATTTTATTCATTATAAATTTGTACTTTCTTCCTTTTCACACGCCTTGT